TATAATAAGTTTATATGAATAAGATAATAACAAAACATATATACACCATGCATTGTATTTGTTTTATATTTTTTAAACTGAGGATTATAATAAGTAACTAATTGATTATAAAATTCTAGAAAAAAAACCAACCATTTTTTTTCTATACATAATGTTTTTCTTTACATAATGGTTTTCTAACTTTATACAATAACCCAGTATTCATTAGTTGTAAATACGTAATAAATCGAGTTATAATTATAAAAGTGAAACGTTTACATCATCTTTAGATCGGAAAATTCTGTTTTCCCGTCTTAAGTGAATTGTTCATGTAAGTACACTCAGTATTAAGTGCTCTTGAATTTTAATAAATGTCCTGTTTTCAATAACAATGAACAATCGATCCGATGTTGATAAAAATGCATTCCACTTTTCATTTTTATAAACAATAGGGCCATGATTGGATTATTAAAACATTGGTAGAAACATCAATTTTACAAATTTTGCTGATTATTCGTGTATAGTTTCATAAAATCTACCAAATATTTCAGTACAGGCGGAAAAAATCATTTAAAAGTTTTTTTATTCTATTTTCAGCTCTAACAGCCATCCTGTTCAGCACACCATTGCCATTTGAGTAATTTTTTATAGAGGACGCTCCAAGTTATTATAGATTCATCAAAATCTACCCACCTTTTTAAGCAAGAGATGTTACTGAAAGTTTTTGTTTCTATTTTCAGCACTGGAGGCCATTTAATTCAGCAAACCAGAAATATTTAAGCAACTTTTATAGAGAACCATCGTTTGAGCATTCCTGTATAGTTTTATTAAAATTTACGAAACAGTTTCATTTTCAAGAATTTATGATGGTTTTTTACTAATATTGACAATATATTTGAATGGTATTTAAGCAAATATAATCTGGAATTTTAGCTATTGCTTTGTTTACCCATTTCTAAAAACATGGAACGATGTAGGAAACATGGTTTATTTTCCCGGTGTATATATATATATATATTGATAATTCTTTTCTACTTCAAACAAAACGTATTTTTAAACATATACTTGGCTGAGATAAATCTGCATTTACTTGCATAAATCGTTATGATTATTGGATTCATTAATGCATGTTTAAATATTTAAATAATAACAGCAATTATTTGTGTTAAGAGCTATGCAGTTCTCTCAGTAGGCTAAGTTCAACAGTAAATGAATAATATTGTGTTATTTTATGTACGGGCAATAACTCTAATCTACAAGGTAGAAGCGATATTCCGACCCAGGGCAAAACCTACCCAAGAATCTAGCTTTGAATCTTGAAATATTTTGATTATCAGAAAGATCCTAATCACTTGAGCGAACTTGTAAGACATATATTTTTATTGATTTGAATGTGATTTTAATTTACGTTATACACGTCATACATGTTATATTAGAGCGCGACAACCCTTATGATGACGGTAAGAAAGGTTAATATTACAAAATTAAAACAATTATTATAACAGTAAATTATCCGAATATTTGACAAGGATGTTTTTCCAACAGATACTTATAACTTAGCAATTATGAAAGGAAAAGTTATATTCCTGCACAATGCGCTCTGCCCAAATTAGACCTATCCATCTATGAAGATTCAAGTTGATACCACAAGCACGTTTTGAGTTACGCTCTAAAAAAGAAACGAGAAAAAAAAAACAAAGAGCACAATCTAAGGAGCTATATAGAGCAGACTTATATTCTTGTGCAAGATATATCTACCTCTGAATACATTTAGTTTCAAGTGTTTTTGAGTTACAAAATGTGGGACGGAAGGAAGGGCGGATAGGGGGAAAAATGGAGAATATTATGATACCACATTCCTTTTCGGCGGGGGATAATAAGCCAATCAAATATTCCGTTGCGACGTTTAAGTCATTCAAACATCGAATGATAAGGATCTGTGTTCTGACCCCCAGCAGGGGATAATCACCTGATTACAGCAATAGACTTACTCCGAATTTAAGAATAGTTTTGGTTTTCCAAGGTACAAATTGAAGTCAGGATGTCATAAGTTATCTTGGCTAAAGCCAAATACTAATTACAAGCAATCAGACAAGGCAGATATTTCTGAAACTGGTAGAATCAATAATCTTCCAAAATGTGTGTACCAATGCTGAAGCAATTGTGTTGTAGAATGTACAAGTGCATTAGAAATTTTGAAATGTTTATTTTACAAAGGTAACAACATTGCTATCAGAAAAGGAATATAATAATAAACAAATATAGTTATTTTGGGATAATGACATGACAATGTTTCAAAATTTAAAATTTCACCATTTTTTGTGTTTAAATGTTAAATTCTGTTTAAGCCGGTGCTAGGAGCCGTGAACGGTAACTTCCATTTTCCAGTACCGTCCAAGAACAGGCTCAATCAAACCGACTCTGCAACATTTTCAGTTTTGTCGTGTTGCGCTTTCTTTAGGGATTCTCTTTTTCTCTATTTTAATAAGAAAACTTAGGCATATTGGAAAGAAGAATGCAAACAAAATCAGCAAACTTTAATTTCATTCTTTCCATTGAAATGCTGTTGTGTAAAATACTCAGTCAAGCATTTAGGTACAAACCTTTAAGCCAAAACTCTTAGAACAAAAACAAACGCCCCTTGGGGAGCTTGAGAATAAAGTCTCTACATATTACCATGTTCTATTCAACTTTTTTTTTATTTTTTAATTTTTTAACATAACTGACGGACCTTACTGTACATAAGAAGAATATCCTTACCGTTTAAACAAAAATTATACATATGATTCAAACAAATTATTAGTCAATCAGTTATTCAAACAAAAGTCACATCAAAATTCAACAATAACCAACTCATATTGTATTAAAACAGAGAAGTTAACAATATTTTAATGTTTTCGTCTACTATTTTATGTTTTGATTGGCAATGTAACAATCAGCTCTGTAGACAAAATAGGTTAATATGTAAATGCATGTATTTCTTATGGACACAACAAACTCATGTATTTCTTATGGACACACTAAACAAACTGTTCTTAGTTTTTGCAGATACTTTTTGTCGTCATTGCTTTAGAGTGATTTCCGTTTTATTTTCAAATATGGCAAACTCAAATCAACGGATATACACTGGTATCTGTGATTACGTTTTGCCTCATACTGAATGAATGACATGCCCCTATGAACATGAGAATTGTTTAGTGCTAATGTTTGAACAACTTATCACCAGACATCAGACAATAATTATTGATACACCTTTTACAAATGTCACAATTTGTGAACACAGAACAATGCATGTTGACATTTATATCCTTATCTTATTATTATCAGAATGTTTTTCTGCATTCAAAGTGGCCTTTTCCTTTAAATAAATGTTCATGACTGATAAGCACTTAATATCCCCGTCACAAACGGAATAGCGACCTTACTGCGTTCCCTGGGTGACTAAGGACGCAGAGATAGCGCCATGGACGCAGTTAGGATGGATCGAGCTTGGAACGACTCGAGTCGCAATGAGTAACACATCATTGTTACAAAACGCCAAGTCACGGCGACTACTTTGAACATGCACAAAACAAGCGTACAGTATCGATATTCTCAGTGCAACCAAAGTACATGTATATACTAAGAACGTAAACGCACACATATTGTTTCTTGATACGACCACGGCGTTTCCAGGATGATCGTGCTGCCCGCAGGAAAATAATAGTTGCCGTCGAGTCGTAGACTAGAACACAATGACGCACTAAAAATCCTGTAAGGTCGTATAAAGTACCATAAGAGCACTTTTAAGAACGCTTTATGAACTCTTTGTAAACGAACAAAACAAGACGCTGGTGTGACAGTAATTTCATCAAAACAAAATAAAACAATAATAATAAAAAAAATATAGGGCTTCCTAGCGCGACTTCGGCGTTTACCAAAAAAAATCCTTTGACGTCCTATCTGTGATGTACAGGCTTCATAACCTCAGACGCCCTTTCAAAATTCCATTTTATTTAGTTCCGTCCATTGTTTTCTCGTTTAGGGTTTACGCTTTCTTTTTATTTGGGACCATACAACGCCAGAGTGAAATTGAAGGTTCCATGATAAAGGCCATATGACACATCTACGGATGTTTGTAAATTCAAAATTGCACCATTTTTAATGTTAAAATGTTGAAATCTGTTTAAGCCGATGCTAATGGACGTGGACGGTAATTTGCATATTACAGTTCCACCCATGAGCTGGCTAAATCAAACCGAACCTGCAAAAGTTCTGTTTTTTTTTCTATTTAAGGTCGCCGTAAAATTGCATTGTTTGTGTAACGAGGGTATAAATGACAGATAGGTTAATTCATTTACTTAATATGTGCCTAAACATGAAATTAAAATGTCACAGCTTACAATCTTATAGTTTTATTATTCTACATTACTTTTATATAGTAAGATGCCTAGGTTGATCTATCAAATTAAGTATTCAATATGTAGTTTAAGAGAACACTAGGCAAAGTAATTCATGGGAGGCTTCACTTGGCGAAGCGATATTTCCCCGTGACATAACGGTTATTTTTCTGTCACCGCTGCTTCAAACAAATCATTTGGGCAGAGATATTGGTTATACTGGTTAGTTATCCAGTAAAGCCGATAAGTGGAGATCGAATTTGGTGCCCAGTACATTGAGGATGTATCATTTGTCAGCCGAGACAATGTTTGTACGGAAGTATATAAAGGGCGGAGGTTTGGTGGAGTTTGGGGATAACATGACTATAGCTGTTATCAAGAAATGAACTAAGGCCACTTCACAAAAAAGAACAGCCAAGAAATCCGATAATTTTAATATGTTTTGTAGAGTATTGAGGAGGTACTCAAGGAACGATTGTAGCATGTATTATCATGTTTGAATGTTGCCTTATCTCTTTCCCCATTTATTGAAGATCAATTAAGGTGAAGAAAGTAAATTCATTATTCAATGCAATTTGTCTATTTCAGGGTTTCAATTAAAATATACTATCTTTTAGAGAACGGATAAATGAAAACTTGGAATTTGTAAACTTCAATACTTTATGAATAAATAAATAAATATCAAACATCTTACAACTATTTACGACAGTGAAAAATGAAATTACAACATACATAATTCATTTAATCAATATTGATTTATACAGTAGAACATTACTTCAGTATCATTTAATTCTCGTACAAAGCTTCATTCATTGTGCTTACATCTAATATATTTTATTAACCCCCTAACAATACATATAAATAATGAAATGAAGAAATATACGTAATTGTATTAACAGTACCAAACACCTTAAATAAAGATGCTTCACATTCATTTATGCAACTAATTGATGTTGAACATAGTTTGTGGCTAAAACAACTTGCAGCGGAAATTTGCAACTGACATCATGATAACCGAAGACATCCAGGCACAATCTGAGAAGTAACTATCACTGTTACAGTATCGTTTGTTTGTCAATGTGCTTGGATAATTTAAAACAGAAACTTTTCATTAGCTCAAGCATGTTATTCTTGCGACCGAAAACGATCGGTATCTTAGTGTTAAAAAGAACGTCGTAGCTTTTTCTCATATTACAGGTATAGTTAAGACAACAGTAGCAATTATGCAAAACCAACACAAAGAAACAAAATTTGCTCCATTTCCTCCGGACTCATTTATCACTGCAGAAACAGGTTCATTATGGCCTCCTCTTGATTTTGTTTTATTTTCAGGTTTCAGATCTGTGGTCATTTCTATAACCACAATCTTGGGACTCGATAGGTAAACGGATGATTTTGTGGTTTTGATATTTACGTCTGTTTTTGTTGTTGTTTGTTTGCCCCTTGTTGCTGTAACCTTTCCTGCCGTCGTTGTTGGTTTGCTTATTTTTGCTGTTGTTTTTGTTGTCGTTTTAGTTTCTCGTTGGGATGACCGGAATGATGTGCGTTGTGTGGTAGATTGCTGAAGCCGACTTGTTTCAGTCTGTACCTCTTTAGATGTTTTTGTTGATGTCGATATTGGAGTCGATTTATACTGAGAAGTTTTGGAATCTGCAGTTTGATGTGACATAGTTTTAGGAAATGATCTCGTACTTGTTCCAGTTTTTGTTGTTGTTGGTAATGGCGATGATATCACTCTGACATTTGGAATTAACATTTCAAAATAGTTTTTTGGCGGACATTCATAGTTTTCTTCATTATTACATTGTAGAGCTTCAACCGACACGTCTTCCCACTTCACCCTTAAGTCTGTCCTCGGGAGCTGGCACGTATTGGAAAAGAGGTATTTTGTCATACTTGGATTATTTAACGCCCAGATTATGTTACAAGTGCAGTTAAAGTTGTTCGAATAGAAAGCTTGTTCCATCGTTTCATCTAGCAGTGCCTCTATGCTTCCACATCCTATGTTGCCAAATGTATTAAGATACATGGAAAATTCATATAGATTTGAAAACTGCGAAAACGCAAATGGTTTCATCGTTTTCACGTAGTTACTTTGAAAGCTGAATTCAAGAAGGTCATCAATTGAACTGAATGCAAATGATTCAATTGATTTCACATTGTTCGAAGTTATTTTGATATGATCGAGTGCGAATAAGTCAAAGAACGCATAAGGTTTAATGACATCTATTGTGGAGATATCCAAAACTACGGATCCAGTGTCTGTGATGTTGTTGAATGCATAAGATTCGATTACTTCAATGGATAGCTCACTTAAAGATATAGATTCAACATCAGACAAAGCACTGAATGCATCTGTAGAAATTGTACCAACTTTACCGTCATAAATTTCAATCGATTCTAACAATGGAAGTTTATCAAATACTCCTGCTGGAATAAACTCGACGTCAATATCACTGATAGTTAGATAACGTGTATCGTCGGGAAATACCGACGGAATGGACTTCAGACCTGTACACGTGATAAAGCCATCCAAACAGAAACATTTCGTCGGACACTGACCACTTCCTTGATGTATCAACAAGAAGAGTGTCCCAAATAGTTCAATCATAGACATTTTCCTCATACTGGAAATATAAAAGTAAAATGATTGATGTATATATTAACCCTAATTTTATCATATAAAGCGAGAGCACTTTAAAAGTCAGTATATAACGAGAGGAAATGGATATTTCAGATAGAAACAGTTTTGAATTAGAAAATATAAATTCTTAAGAGACTCAGTAAAGTAAGGTGTAATATGAATATATGTTATAATACATTTGATAATTAATTTTTAAATTCTGTATTTTCTTTGCATATACATTTGACCACGATCAATATTGTCATTTTGCCAGCCTGTAGTAATTTTAGAAAATAATAAAGAAAGTAATTTCAGCTAAAATAAATAAATAAATAAATAAAAAAAATATTTATAAATAAATAATAAATATATAAAAAATATAAATAAAGAATAAATCAATAAAAAATAATAATGAATAAATAAAAAATAAATAATAAATGAATGATTAAATAATAAATAAATAAATAAAACAAAAAATTGCCGAACAGACACATAAATAAATACAAATCTAAATAAGGTAATGAATTGTAATCAGTTAATATTTCAAACTATTTTAAGATGATTTATTTCTTATCATAACTTAATACATTACATCTACTTAATCAAAGCTTATTTCATATCAAATTCTTTTGGAATATATATATTTTAAAGTCATATTCTTCCGATAAAAATTAATAACATTTGATATACAGCATGAGATAATACATATTATTATAAAGATGAAAGATAAAATTAAACTCACCTGCGAAATTCCGTGTGTTATTTTTCACTTTAAACGGAAAAAAATGTTCCAAACGCAAATCACAGACGTAGATATCACAGTGTATGCTTCAATGTAAACTTTTAAATAAATAAATAAATAAATAGGTAGATAAATGCCCGTTTTTTCTTAAATTAATAAAATAGTTTGTTACGCACAATTCTTAAAAAGTGTATAACTTTTATAAAGTTTTCATTTATATACACTCGCAATGACTAACAGAAATAAAAATAGTGGGTGATGACTATAAGAATACTATGATTGGAATTTCACATTTTCTTAGTTTTATAATTTCCATGTTTGTAAAAATACAACATAAAGGCTGATGCATACCGGAGATGAAAATGAAATAATAATGTAGAAAATTTACATTTATTTATTTGTTTATCATCAAAGGATAAGTATTGCAGCATACACAAAGCCTCCGTCAAATATATTTAGGTACACATGATCAAAACACACAACAAAGAAAAATAACAACAACGACAACAACAAAAAGAACAAAAAAACATAAAACAACACACACGCACGCACAATAAATAACTGATATTAAAGATATGTTTTTGCTTGTTTATGGGTTTCACGCCGCACCATGCCTGTACAATTCAAATGGCGACGTTCAAGCTTTACTGGTTAAAGGAGAACCCAGTAGCCACTTACTGAGTTAAACCATATACGTTTTGTTTACCTGGATAGCTTCCTCAGTTGAGATCCAAAGTCCCTGTCAGGATTTGACTCAACAGCGTTGAAGGGCAAGTGATTTGAAGTTAACGACCTTATCCAATATGATCATTTTGTAAATAAGTTATTTAGTCACGGCGATAATGTGTAAGTTTCATTTGTCACTCTTCGTATTTGGCAGTGATGCATGGTACCGTTTACACCCACCCCTCAGATATTTACACCGCTGACATTGTGTTTGTTTGAAAATAAACAAATAAATAAATAAATGAGTGGCGGTATGCATTTGTGAAATACGATAATACCATATCAAAATATGAAAATAAATATTCTGTTTTTATATGAACAAAAAAAAAAGAATTTTCTATTTGTTATATACGTATTTCTGTTTTTTTAACATTACAATTCGAAAGACTTTTTCTTAAATTTTGTGCACTGGCAGAATTTAGAAAAAAAAGTAGTCCCGCAGGACACCAGTAAAAATACGAAAAATATGTTTCACTGCAGCGAAAAATTACTTTTTACAATGAAAATACGGAAAATGAAAATACGCATTTTATTTCATCAATATTTCTAAATATTTCATTTATAAGTATATAATAAAAAGGATATTACAGGAGGCCTGTCATTCAAATAAATCTATATGTATTTGCTTTTATAATGCTTTTATAGTAAATCAGAGTAAAGCAGAACAATTTTAAAGTTTCTACAGAAATATTATAACAGTACGGAACGAAAGATGTTCATTGACTTATTTTCTCAACAAATGTAATCTTATAAGTTAATCATGTATTATATTTTACAAATTCCAAATTTCAATTGAATTGCACAATTTCAATTAATTAAAGTACTTAAATTACCGATAACACTTCGAAAGAGCTCCACAATAAAACAATAGAACTTTATCCTTCATCTTGCGAGAAGCACACATGTACCGCTTGGTAAAAAGCTGAATAATATCTTTAAACATATTTAGGTGTCAGTGAGCCTTAAATTTTCAAGTATGACAATATTAGTTATATCGTGATATCTGAAGTGTTTTGCTAAAAATAGGATGCTTTTGAATAGTGTATGGTGTATCACTACGTAATATGAAATAAGCTGTTACACAAAGACAGATAAAAATAACCAACAACTAACAAATCAGAAACTGTGGGATTTAATTTCTTTACGCTTAGAACATAATAGTTCTACGACATCAGATATTTAAAAGTGATTTATTTCTCATATGGAAGCAATAGTAATATCTTAACAGATAATATATTATATATATGAATATACTCATCGTACATTTCTATCTAGGTATTTAGAATTATCGTAAATTCTAATTATTTCTTTTGTCTGTGATAAAGAATAATCTATCGCATCTGTCCACCATTTTGTGCATTCCACGTTAAAAGTATAATTTAATGGCCGATAAATACAACGACCACGATTGATTATCATGGCATTTGTGGATTGTTATTGATAAGACATGAAATATAGCAAAACTTATATTTAGTTCCATGGTCAGTGTAGGTATTTCTTTAAGTTTTAACAATATTCCGCCAAATATTAAAAACTCTAATCACGTGATAGGTTGTGGTCATTTTATGTTTGTGATGGCTTTAAATTGGAATAATAAATTTTCAATACCTTAGTTATATTTTTAATTCTGATTTATAATCAAACCCTAGCATGTGATCTCTGATTGTTTAAGATAGATGGTTTCTTGATTCTTTGCCGAAAAAAAGTTATTTTCCCCATATTTTTTCATGGAAATGGAATCTAAGTCTTCGAATGTAACAATAGAGAGTTAAGAATGATTTGTTTTCTGGAAATCCAAAGCTGATTTCAAAATAAAAAAAGAACTTGCGCAATTTAATTAAATCTTAGATTAAAGAATCTTTTTACGTTGTAAAAGTCATTTAAATGAAATGACGCAATTAAAATACAATGGTTATCACATGTTGCAACTTTTCTACTACAATATACGGCTCTTTTGCTTGTTCAAACATGATTTAAAACTTTACAAATCATAAGTTTGACATGATGCATTATTACATAAACAATGCTGGTCATTCTTCTCTTCATCATCTGATCTTAAAAATTAAATTCAAAATATATAATTATACATATTGTATCTCGCCTACATATATCACGAGTCAAACAAATAAAACATAAGTGGTTGAAATTACCTAATTTGTTTTAATAGATAAATTGAATAGTACAAACATCAATACATCAAACACAAATAGAAAAAAAATCTGCTACAGTTCGAAATGAATAGTATCTTGTTTTAAAAAAAATCTGAAAAGGAAAATACTTCGAAACAGATAAAAATAAGATTCAGGTTAACTGACTCTCCTCGCTAGCGGTAAGGGCTTGTACTATAATTCTCACGCCACCTAACACCGACTGAAGCGGTATTCAATTTTCAACAACAACAAAGATTGTAATATATTTTGTTTGTTTGTTTCATTTTACGCCCTTTTCCAACAGTATTTCAGTCATATAGGCGGGTAGTTTCCTAACCATCGTTCCTGGAGAGTTACACCAGTACTAGACTACCTTCCTCCGCGTTAACTACCAAAGCATCTCCCGGGGATCGAACCCACGCCAGAGAGGTAACTGGATTAGAAGTCATCGACTCTAACCCCTCGAACACGGAGGCGGTCTTGTAATATATGATCATGAAGGACGAGGAACATATGGCAACATTGAGATGCTAACTGTACGTGAATTTGAAAGTTAAATTTTAAGAGTCTATTTGCTGCCTGTTTAGTCCTACGAGGCAGTTAAGAAGATTGAGATATTTTGGCAAGCTTAGCTCAAGAGGGAGACCATCGGATTAATAGATTTATTATTTTTGGGGTCGCTATTTAATCCTCTGTCAAGGCGTTATTCCTCCGTGACATTGAGTCCTGTGGATATTAGTCTCTCCTCGCTGATTAAGAAATCGTTTGGTATGAGTATTCGGTGTTTTGCAGGAAAATTGATAATTACTGGTTTATTATCAATGAAAGCCGGTTTGGTGGATCGGTCACCGATATATTGCCAACACATGTATTCAAATCGGCGTAAAACCAAGAAAAACTCTAATGAACGTTCTCTGCTGCATTTCACAATGCACATAACATTAAGACATACTCTTTTTCGCATACACTTTTCCATTGGAAGTCACTCAGCTAATTTAACTTTTGAAATAATTCATTTTCCGCCCTAACGTTAGAGCACATCGCCCTTGTAGAAACTAGTTGCATGTGCCCCTGCTGACTTATTTATAATGGTATTTAATAAATAATTATGCTCTTACGTTATGTTTGTTACGTATGCTTATATACATCCAGATGATTCGATGAAAATTGTTTTCATACAGATTTAGCAACGACCTAGTGACATGCAATGTACATGTAGTGTTGTGTTTGGTTTCTTGTTTTCACTGCATGTTAATTGTTTACAAGTATTGGCTTATTGCTCAAAACAAATAAAAGATCTTCACGATTTGGAAATCTATATGTTGTTTCATGTGGAGTTATTACACTTTTTTTGGAGATATTACCAATATGTAGTCTGTTGTAAAATATTTGTCAGAACTGAAAGTTCATATTCATCATACAGTCTAGATTGCAGTTTTTTTACTGTTACGTATAGTAAATTAATTGGTTTGTACGAAGCATACTCGAACTAACAAAAGGGTCAAACTATTAAACAAGTACTAAGTAATTACTAATTAATTCATTCATAAAAATAGATAATACATTTATATAAGGCTTCTATCAAGTAGTTTGAATGAGACTATTAACATTGTTTTTGACAAAGGTATGTCAAGTACTTTGATATCCCATTCGTTTTTGTCAACTAAAACTTGATATTGTTCATTATTCAGCATATTCTTTCACTAAGCCGGAACTTGTTGACACTCCTTCAGATGTCGACCTACTTTAATTTAAGCCATCTGAATCAACATTCATACACACATACAACCTTTATCATCGATTCTTCTTACCTTTTTGATATCAAATGTATATTGTAAGTCAACTTTAAGGCACACTAAAGTACTCTTACAATCATTGGTAGCTGGACAAGCTTTGATAAACCTGTACATAATACACGTAACAAACTGTTTAAGGTATCTTGAAGAAGTGGATGATACAATCGTCAAAAGGGAACGGGACAAACTAAGAGTTTTGGACAAAACACGTTCTTGTCATAAATCTGCTTATGGCCAAGGTGTAATATCAATGTCAAGCTGAACATCATAGTAGGAATCCATTTGATTCGAGCTTAGAATTTATACTGTTTTGCAGATAATTAGTTTGGGTTAGTAGACTATGAATAAAAAAGAACAATTTATTGATTTCGCATTAAATATGCTGAATTTTAGATTTGTCAATTTTAATTAATGTCTGAACTTTATTCTAAGAATGAAAAAATCATCGTTGACATTAAAGAAATTAACATTTTCCTGTAAATTAAAGAGAAATACCAAGAAAAGCGCATCGCTTGAATTCATAACCGAATAGAAATAGTTTACCGATAAAAC